GAAGGCCATTATGAAGTTATAAAGAGCACACTAGTGCTTAAGGAAGAGAGCTCAAATAATATCATGAGCTTCATGGGGCCACACCATAGGAAGTCTTGCAAATACAAAGTGTAGTTTGGATTTTATTACCCAGGATGACACTGAATGTCCTTGAGGACCCCTGTGACATAATCTGACAGCCAATCAAGGATAGATTTCAGGAGATGCTTTTGAGTTCAGGTGCCAGTTAGGAAGTCGCAAATGCAGTAGAAGAGGAAGAGAATCAAAGCATTTGTGTCTAGTGACTTCTCTTCTGGACATGGCATGATGCTGTCTTGGACTTTGCCTGAGTAGTCATGGGAACTGGAGAAGAATATGGTGGTAGGTCTGCGGTAATGGTAATGGTAATGGGGCTGCTGACATTCCCTAGCAATTGGGAATCCATTCCCAAGCTTGGAATCCTTCCCCAGCTTCAAGTGATTGGGGGAGCTATTAGCATCTATAAGAAGATTAATTGAAAGTGGGACTCCATGATGAAGCTTCCATGAGATTGCCATCCATGGCAGGATGTGACTTGGTGGTGATGTAGCTGTTTTGGGGTCACCCACATTCCTGTAAATAATCTCTCACCTATGCTCTATAAGGAAGCCCAGTAAACGGCTTGATTTCACCAAGCTGGACTTTGGTAAAACTGTGTTTCGGTCTGTCCTAGGTGTCCATCGTGTGTGACTGGGCGTGCAGTTGTATCTCCCAAGGAAAAGACAACACAAGAGGCACAGATGAGCGTTCTTCACAAGGCTCCCTCTTACGCAGACAGACTGGGAGGAGCTGTTCTCTTAGCTGTGCGTGGGGAGGAAGTCTTGATTCCAGGTAGTCTATCAGAAGGGCTCAGCTTGTGTATCCAATAATAAATTTGCCTTTGATTGTTCCCCAAACCCTGCTTTCTCCATTCCCAATATACTTATTGAGGAAATGAAGCAAGCAAGCTCCAGGAGGGTAGGTGGTTGGAGGGTTGAAAAAGATGCTGGAAGAGGGCATGTGGGCCTTCTGGTGGGGGCTGGATGTTGTCATGGAGGGGGGAATGTTGTGACGGCACCTGGGCGATTCTACTTCGTATTGATCAAGCCCCATTTGCCCGTGAACCTCATAATCAGCTCCTGCTTAAGCCCTCACTTCCCCAGTAATTGACTCTCGCATATTGATTAAGATGTTGATGTGTCCCAGGATTTCTTGGTGGTGATGTAGGCACGCCTCCCGGCAGGCTGGGTTGGCAAGGCTCTCACTGTAAGGCTGTCACCGCTTGCTCCTTAATGGATAAAGCTGTCATCTGAGAGCTGGAATGTCTTGCAGGCACAAAGACGAAATTAACTGTTCAATAATGTATGGGACATGGAAAAAACTTTACCCAACAACTCGAATTGATTGCTGTAAGTGTTTTGACTGCATTCGCCTGCTTTGCATAAAGTCAGCGACTTTGGCCAGCCTGATGTTCACATACAACCATTTCTCAGCCTCCGTTAGAGTAAGAGTCAAGAGACTGGTGGCTGCCAGGAAGCAGCTGTCTGGGGGGAAGGAGGGTGGTGGGGTGGGGAGCAGGTGGGCACCACTGACACCTCTCTGGGGATCCTTGAGTGATCCCTGGTCTTTAAAGCAATGGGTTCCTGGCAGTTGGATGGGATCGTGCTAGAATGGCATCTTGGGTGAGTTTGGGGAATCACTGGGTGTGGAATTCCTGGAGCTCTGTGACCTCACTTGCATCAGGCCCTCCTCTCCCCTCCTCTCTGAGTTAGGCTGGTATCTTACAGAGAGCCTGTCAGCCAGAGCTGTTAGGAGGAGGGGCCCTTGGGTCACACTGTCTTCATCAGCTTGGTAAACAGCCCTTCTCATTTCAGCGGAACCCTGCTCATGATTTGGGACTCCGTGAAATGTGTGCTGAGGATCACACAGGTTCCAGAAACTGCTGAATGTTTCTCTCAGCTCTATCCCTTTCTGACCTGGAAGAAGAAGAACATATCAAGGCAGCCTGCCTATACGCTACATCTTTTCTGCCAAGCTCAGCCTTTTAAAAACATAACAAGATCCTTTGAACATAGCTCTGTTTTATCACAGGCTCTTTATTGAACTTCTAATCAACACAAGCAGCTGACAAAATAGGAGACTGCAGAAATCGGCCGTGCATTATGTATCCTCCTCCTTGTGAGTCTAAAAAAAAAATAATAATAACATTAAAGGAAGAGAAAATAAACAGGCTCCCTTCAAAAACAAACAAATCCCACCAAACCAAGGAAATCCTCTCACACCCAGAGGAAGGCCTGCCGCGTGCCTTGCAGACTGCAGCTTGGTCTTTGGAGCCTCACAGAGGCTGTTTCCATAAAACAAATAACCACCTCATTTTTGTGACCCACTAGGAGTGAGGTCCAAGCTGCAGGCCCACGTCCAAGGAGTCCTTCTCCATAGGCCCAGCCAACCACAGATATGTCCGGCCTCTTGCCTAAGAAGGGAAGCGGGACACAGTCTCTGTCCTGACCCTCTCTGTCTCTCTCAGCGCTGCTCTCATCGAATGGTCCTGGGTGTTGGTACATTGTCCTCACTTGAGGCCTCCTCCCCCTTCCTTGCCTCCATCTTCCTCATTTACTTCTGTTATTCTTCAGCCAACAATGGGATGTGTACATGTGAGGTACTCCACTTAAATCTCAGACACCAGGTAATGAAGGAGCCACATACTTTTCTTCTATCTAGCCTGAAATTCCCTCTCTAGAAGCTGTCAAGAATCAGGGCCCTGGGGCAGTACCCAACGAATAACTCTCGCCTAGCTGACCAAAGTCACTTCTCTCTTTGTGGAGTTTGAAAGCAGATGCTTGAGCCAAGGGGTGTGACTGTTAGCCACAGGTGGGCCAGGGCAGGGTTGTGACTGAGAACCCAAGTCTTGCCACAGGATGGGAGTGCAAACCTGGTCGTGAGCACTGAACATGCTTCAGCAGGGCAGATGGGATGGATGAAGGTCGAAAGATGTGAGGCTGGAGTCCAGATGACACAGCCAAGGAAGGAAGGGACACAGAGCAGGAGAAAATTCTTGAGACAATGCTTTAACTGGCCTTGAACTTGCAGATGAATACCTGTGGCCACAAACACAAATGGAAGACTAGGTCATACTAAGCAAGATGAGATAAGGCAATGGCCCGAAGGTCTCAAAGTCTGGAAGGTCACATGGGCCACAGGCAAGAGTAGAGAGACTTGGAAGCCAATGCACCCTAGCAGGGAGTGTCTGATACCCCAAAACAGAATGGTGGGCTCTGTCCTTTGGGAATGATCACTTGCCATCATGGGAAGATGGCAAACAGGTCAGGGGAGCCTGGACGTACAATCACGAAGGCTACCTGGTGAGAGGTAACAAGAGTCAAAATAAAGACGGAGTATGGGAGAATGGGGCAATCACAGGACCCGATCTCCACAGGCTTTGCCCGCTCCTGGGGATGCTAGAGATGCAAAGATGGAAACTAATGACTCCCTCCTCCTTGGTTTCCAGCCCCTGGAGGCAGAAAATGAGATACAAACACATGGCCAAAGACTGAGGAGGATGATAGGACAAGGGGAGTAACTCAAATAAGCTCAAACGACAGAGAGACTCTCAAAGGTTTGAGTGCAGAGAAACTTGTTGTCTCCAGAAACGCAAGAGAGACTTTGAGCCATATCTGTTGCACAGGGATGAGAGAAAGGTTGGGAAAAGGTAGAAGAAATTCACAAATAATGCAGTTCATCTAGACTTATATATGTCTATATAGATATAGACTTATATAAATAGCTTAGGCTTTGTAATTTAGAAATAGTAGGAAATTATTTGTTCAGTTCTAGAGGCTGAAAGGTCCAAGTCAATGCACCAGGTTGGTACCAAGTGAGACCTGGCTCTCCTTAGATGATGGTGCCTTTAGTCAGTCATGACCATGGTAGAGGGGAGAGAAGGGATGGAGCTGTGAACTCACTCCCTGAAGCTCTTTGTAAGGGCACTAATTCTAGAAGTGGAAGCCTTATAGCTTCTAACATTCTAACCCTTAGCACTCTTGCAGTGGAATTAAGTTTTGGAGGCACACAAATATTAGAACCACAGCAGCTTTGATCAACTGTTTGGCTTGGTGGAAAAGCCAGGTATGAGACCAACATCAGCAGCATATATGAACATGTGGGTTTTGCAAGAGGCCACTTCAGAGTCAAGACTAAGGATGAAGGTAGAGAATTCTGGAAAGACTTCCTAAGTGTGCTAGTAGACTTTACCATGTAGACTCCTGTGGGGTGTGGTGGATAGTTGTGCCTCAGCCTTAGAGAAGAGCCATAAATTAAGTCAGAACTACAATTTATTCTCATGAGTAACTGGGGGAATTGTCCTAGATCTTAGGTGACCAATAGTCAACTCCCCATATCGGGCTCAGGGCAATTACATTAAGTGACTAGAAATAAGAATAGAAATGATTTCTTCTGAGGACTCTGTCAGTTCTGATGTAAAAATCATTTGTGTCTCATTATGGGACACGAGTGTACTAGACAGGCCCCAAATGACATTTGATGCTTTTCTACAACTGGTTATTTCAGGTAACAATTAACAGGAAACGATTGCTAACTGCCTGGGTGGTCACTTTTCTAGGGGATGCTGGGCACTGAGTTTCAGTCCCCTGCAGTCTCTCATCTGTGGCTGTGGAGGGAAATGAACCACCTTCGTACCTGTCCCAGCAAATCCTTTACCCCTTTCTCCTTCCTGCTCTCCATTCTGTCAGCTGAGTTTTAGAAAGTTAATGTAAGAGTTACACTTTGGCGTCTCATTTACAATAAACATATGAATGTCCTCTACAATCCAAGTTAGAAATGGAAAGAAAGAAAGAAAGAAAGAAAGAAAGAAAGAAAGAAAGAAAGAAAGAAAGAGAAAGAAAGAAAGAAAGAAAGAAAGACCGATGAAAGCCAAATGACAGCACAGCATGTGTTTGCCTTTTCCTCTTTGTGATTCTATGTTGCTTCTTTTTCTTTTTCTTTTTTTAAGGAGAGTGCAAACACAGTCCCCCCACTACCACAAATCATGCAGTCAAGTTTCCCGAATTTGGGGAAATTGCAGGGGTCAACACATTGGGAGGGCAGTGGATAAGCCTCGCTCTGGGAAAACCACCTTCACGATCATGGTATCGCCCCTGCCAGGTAAGTATTCTGTACGGCTGTTTTTGAGAATGCTCCAGACAGGGTCCCCAGGTGGACTATTCACAGTGTTCCCAGCAATGTCTGCACCGTAGTCTGCATCATCCATTCTTGGTGAAAGAACTCTGCTTTGGGTCCACAGAGTGGACAGGATGGTGAGCCGTGAGGCAGCGAGCAGGGTGCAGGCAGGCAGGCAGGCAGGATGTGAAGCAGTTTCTGTCGACCGACCATGCTGCTGTGTGCCTTTCTGCTGCTTCGGCTAAGACAGTGAGCAGTGTCTGTTTGATGTCTGGTCTCTGGGAAGGAGACCCAAGAGAACATGAGCTGGGCTTGTCTGGATATCAAAGTCCAAATTAAAAATTTATTCCAGTGTTTGAAAAACTCCTGGCCAAAACCTTCATATGAAAAAAAAAAAAAGGAAAAGAAAAAAAAAAAAAACAGTACAAACTCTGGTTTCTTCAGCATCTCCAGTTGAGGACTAGAGAATTTATTTTTTAAAATAATCAACTAAAAGCAAGGGCAAATAGCTCCATAAGAGGACACAGGTCAGATGGCTTCTTTGCTAAAGCGTCAAGGAAAGCAGTCTCTTTAACCACTTTGGGCAAGTGGGAAGCGTGGAGTTTAGTAATCAGTTTTGAATCCTCTTCTCCCCTGCGTGTTTGATCATCTGGTTCTTCACTAGAGCTGGGGAACAAGACTAAGAAAGGGCTCCCACCCAGCCCCACCCACTCCAAGCTCCGCCCACTCCCCAGACCCGCCTACTCCCCAGCTCCGCCCACTCCCAGCCCTGCCCTCACCACATTCAGCAGAAAGGCATACTGGGGATTTTTGTTTTTTAAGTTGTCAGTTGGGGAGGGAAATAAACATGGCAGACCAAACCATCTAATAGTAATGATGAAATTATTAATCATAATGGAAATGTTATTATACAGCAATAGGTTAAGGAAAGTGAAAAATAAACAAAATTCAATCAGGCCGTTAAACAAATTGTTTTCAGAAAAAAAAAATAGAGCTAACCTAATATGAGATACTTTTTAGTAAAATGTTGAAGTGGAAGAGGGGATACCAACTTTAAGAGCAAAGCAGCCAGAGGAAGGATTCATTCACAATGAAAGCAGAGGGTAGAAGAGAGGGGAGGAGCCATGTCAGCAGATGAATCGGAGTGCGGTCAGCCCCCGAACTCCTAACAACACAAGCGCCTGCGGCATTGAACACAGGCCCCCAGGTCCTCTAGCACAAGAGCTTTGCTGGTGTGAGTTTTGTAAGCTTTACATCTTTAAGTTGAACTTGGGTACAATTTCCTAGTTAGTTTACAGTTTGATAGACGCTTATTGTGAACCCACTCATGTCTCCACCATTCCGATCTGGCCATGAGATAGGGCTCTCACTCCAGAGCTGGCTTCATCACTCCCGTTCTCCAGAAGAAGCCCCTGGTTGGCTGTCTGCTATCATGGACCCGTTCTCTCTCTCTCTCTCTCTCTCTCTCTCTCTCTCTCTCTCTCTCTCTCTCTCTCTC